ATCCCAAGCAAAATACATTTTTTTCCTTCTACTCACTTTCTATCTGCACTTTTTGACATCACAAAGGAACAGTTAATATTATATTTTTATACTTTATTTTTTAAAGTAAATCATTTCCTTTGTTTCAAGTATTTATAATAAGCTGCTTTGAATTAAACAGCTCTATAGACCACAGAACATAATCTGTCTGGACAGATTAAATGATCACTTTAATTTTTTGTTTTAAATACTTATTTTTAGTTGTAGTTGGACACAATACCTTTGTTTTATTTATTTATATGTGGTGCTGAGGATTGAACCAGGGCCTCACATGTACTAGGCAAACGTTCTACTGTTGAGCCACAACTCCAGCTCCATAAATGATCACTTTAGAAGAGGAACATTTTTGTTAAAAGTTTTATCTGAAAATATTCTGGACTTTATGAATTCGTCTCTTTCTTCTTAAATACATGATCTGAATTATGCTTGAAGTTATGTGAAAATAATACCTTTAGGTTATAAATAATATGTACAAATAGCAACATTGTTAGCATACAGAGCTATTCACATGTGTGTGCATTTCCTACTTTTTTTCTGATTTCATTCACTTGCTTATGTATAAACTCCCACTCAACCAGCAAGTAACCTGGTTTCCACTATTTGTCATCTATTTACTTAATTGTTCCATTCCAGTATACACCTACAGCTGTGTTAGGATTGTTAAGCCCTTCTCCCTTGATAAAATAACTTTATCAACCAGAGTACAGTGCTTATGTGCAGCTCCCATTGCCTTAATTTTCAGAGTGCTCATTTTCAAAGTTACCTAGATCTGTACCCCTGACCTCCACCCACCATCCTCTTTAACAAAGTTGTTTCAGATCCTTGCAAAGCAGTTACATTATTTTGTCATGGTCTGCATTTCTCTCTGAGATTCTCCAACCCCCTAACTGGAAACTTTCTAAAGTGTCCATACCTTAAAGTCCACTTTTGGCAACATACAATTCTGTGGGACTTGACAAATGGACCATGTCTTATAGTCACAATTATAGTATCAGACAGAATAACTTTACTGCTTTGCTTCCTCCCCTTCTTCCCTCTGAAGCACTGGCAACCACGGATCAATTTACTGTGCAGTTTTAGTTTTCAGAATGTCACATAACTGGAAACGTGCGGTATGCATCCTTTTAATACTGGGTTGTATCACCAAGGTTCCTTCATGTTTCTTCATGGCCTGACAACTTCTTCCTTTTTGTTGTTGAAGAGTATTTCACTACATGGCTGTATCGTAGTTTGCTTGTTTATTCAGCTTTTAAATGACATCTTAGTTGCTTCTGGATTGAGTGACCATGGATAAAGGTGACATAAATATTTGCATGAAGGTTTTTATGTGAATGTAGACTCTTCATTTTAATGGGGTAAATACCCAGTACAGTGACATATGGATCATATGGTAAAACTACAAATAGCTTTGTAGGAGGCTGCCAAATTTCATCCAAAGTGACTTTCCAATTCTTTATTTTCCACAAGCGTTCCTGCTCCTCTGCATTCTTATTAGCATTTGATATTGTCAGGTTCTTGACTAATAAATTTCAGTCATTCTTGCATCATTTGTATCTCATTGTTATTTTAATTTGCAAATTCCTAGGACATGATGATGAGCTTCTTTTCATATACTTATTTGCCATCTGTCCATCTTTTTTGATTGTGTGTTTTTCAGATCTTTTGCCATTTTTAAAATTAGTTGCTTTTTTAGGTTGAGTTTCAAGTATATTTTGGATATCAGTCTTATTATTTAAATGTTTGATTACAAATATTTTCTCCCAATCTGTGGCTTGTGTTTTTTTTTTTTAAATTCTCTTATCAGTATCTTCTACAGAACAGTTTTTAATGTCAATAAAATCCAATTTACCAATTTTCTCTCATGGATCATGCTTTCAATGTCATGTCTAAACACTCATCACCAAACCCAAGTTCACATAGAGTTTTTTTTTCCTATGTCACCTTTTAAAAGTTTTACATTTAGGTTGAAGATCCATTTTTGAGTTAATTTGTGTGAAAAATATTGACTTCG